CCTGTCGCGACGGCGCCCACCCGCCACACCGCTGCCCGACACCGACGCGCCTGCGTGCGCCGTCTGCCTTAACCTGCAGCGCGGAGGATAATGCCAGCGACTCCGGCGCGCAATCCCTCGAATACGCCCAGCACCGCCAACTCCACCCCCAGCTCCGGACGACGACTGCTCTCGCGCATCACCTCGCCCTTTGCCTCCAAGTCGCGCAAGCTCACCGACTTCTACATCTCCGTCGATGACCCCCACCGCTCCTACGCCCAGGGCGATTCGGTAACAGGCTGCGTCAATCTCAAGGTCGTGCAACCCATCCGCGTCACCCACGTGGTTGTCTGCTTGCACGGCTTTGTGCAGGTCTACAAGAATCCAGGCTCGCCGCCTGCAGACGGATATCGGGCAACAAGCGCGCATATTGGCACGGGCAAAGGCAGCAAGGGCGGCGAGTACTTTGGCAATGGCTTTGCCTCATTGTTCGAGGATGAGGTCGTGCTGTGTGGAGATGGCAAGCTGGGAGAGGGCGTATACCAGTTTCGCTTCGATTTGCTGTTCCCCGAACGCGACTTGCCCAGTAGCATATCTGTGCGTGATGCTTCTGTCAATGTCAAGTGTGTGCTGACTCGTCCTAGTTTGAACGCGGAACCATATCCTACATGATCACCGCCACCCTGACGCGACCGACCACGATATCGCCTACCATACAATGCGATCACAAAGTCTACCTCGTCGAGAGGATCGACATTTCGCAGATGTTGCCTCCGAAAGCCCGAACCATCACATTGGAGCCTGTTTCGCGGCGGACCAAGGCCAAAACACAGGCTAGGAAGTTGGCGGACAGTGCCGACCGCAAGACACGAAAGAATGGCAGCACATCCGGCGAGCTGCAGCGGCGTAGCAGTCAATCTTCCTCCGCAGTCAGCTCCCATCCCGATGGCTTCGAAGGCCTGCCACAGAGTCCCGCAACCACCGACGACAGCTTCGACAGTATACGAAGTAGCAGCGCCGGACGCCCTTCCCAGCAAGACTCCAATGTTGCCTCATCACGACAGAGCGATGGCGAAGCTGCTCATCGCACCATCACAGCCACCGTAGAATCATTGACCGGCGGGGTGTTGCGAGGGGATAGCATCCCTGTCAAAGTGCATGTGCATCACACCAAGCATGTCAAGAGTCTGCATGGTGTCATTATCACGCTTTATCGCCAAGCTCGAGTCGATCTCCACCCTGCCATACCGTTGGGCCCTACAGAGAAGGGCAAAGAAGCCAAGTATGAAGATTACTACCCCAAGTCCGTGACTGGTCTTGGCGGCTTATCCTTGTCCGGAGCTGGGTCCAGTCACATGTTTCGCAAAGACTTGTCGCAAACCATCATGCCTTTGATCATCGATCCTGGGTCCTTGACTGCAGAAGTCACTGGTAAGGTTCATGTACCCGAAGAGGCCTTCCCAACCATCTCCTCTGTACCAGGAGCCATGATCAGCTTTCGGTATTATGTGGAGATTGTGCTCGATATCCAGGGGAAGCTGTCGACTCAAGATCGCAATCTGGGAAACTTGGGAGGACTGGCCAGCACCGTACTGCAAGGCCACAGCGCCGACAGCATGGGAACGGAAAGGTCAGGTGTCCATCCTTTTAGTGCTCCAGTCATCGATACTGCAGCTGTACGGCGAGATAAGGGTGTCGTGGCGTGCACTTTCGAAGTTGTCGTTGGTACGAGAGACAATGCGCGGAAAAAGGGTAAGCGGAAGGTGTCTATCCCGGAGGAGCCAGAAATGGAGGCGACACCTACACAGCATCCAGAACAGCAAGCTGATGCACAAGCTGGAGCGACGTCCCAACCAGAAGGTGGCTGGCAGGACGATTACTGGAATCATGCCGGGAACGGCTACGGTTACGGCCAGCAGTACCCGCACAGCCCTTACGCATACAACGGCTACGACTGGCATGGGTACAATGGGTATGGATATGGTCACTACGACTACCCTCCCCATACGCATTACGTGGAACCTCCGCCGCCGATACCGATACCGCAAGTCGAGGACGAATCGCAGTTATCCGAGAAGGAGAGGGTGAGACGAGCAGAACAGCGGCTGCTACCCAGTCAGCCTCCAGGAGTCGAAGATGGCGCAGGACCACGCTCTCATGCTGCAACGGCACCACATCTACCGGATGAATTGCCCAATGGACACGGTCCATCAGCGCCGCGGCCTGCCTTGCTCACACCCCCTGCTTATGGGTCCAACAGTGCCACGCCCATCAACGGCATGTTATCTGTCGACTATGCTCGATCAATACCATTGCCGCGAACACCGGATTATGAGCCTCGAGAAGCAGACACATTATCTGCTTTTTCCGCAACTCCCACGCCTACAGTCGCGGCCCCTTTGCCTCCCACCGACGACAAAGCCGAACTGCAAAGGCGGCAACTAGAACGAGAGGCTTCAGCGCCTCCCATGGACGATAGTCCCGAGGACGCTGGTCCGAGCAGCAGCAACAGCAGAGCCCTTCCCGTACCCAGCGCGCCCGCTTTGACGAACGAAGACTTGTACGGCAGTGACGATGATGATATGCACCACGCGAGTGTGTCAGATCAGTCGGTTCTACCGAGATATGAACGATAACGAAATATGCGGCGTTTTGAGGTGTTCATTTTGCTTGTTTCTCTGGTGATGAAACATGTCTTTGGGATTTCTCGGAGGGTTCTGTGGCATCTGGTTGATAGATGGGGGAAGGCTATAAGGTACGCTGAACAAAGGACTGTGTTGGCGCAGAAGAGAAAAGTCTTTTGAGTTTGAGAGTGGCTCGTGTGGCCGATGATGGAGTGAGGAGGTCAATGTTGAGCAGTGATACCAAGTAGGAGCAGAAGGTATGAAATATTTATTATGACTTTCAATTTTTTTCAATCTTTCTTTCGCGGTGCTTGTTGGTTTGCCTGTGAGGACCTCATTCTTCGCTGTCTGCTGCAGCAATCATTCTTGTTGACACTGGGTGACCTCATTCGTTGGCTACACGACTGGGCCTGGCGCAGGACTTTCCGCATCGATGAGCAGACCGCTGCCGTTTAGTCAGTCACCTCTGGCGTTCTTGTATTCTCCGATTGTTCCCCGGCTTTGTCTACCGCGTGACATATGCAACATCAGTCCTACAAGAGGTGTTGCAACAGATAGACGCAGGCCAGTCTTTGACTACAATCCGACCATGACTAGCTCTCCGTTGAAGCCACTGCAGTGTTGCGAAGATCCTCAGGGCGTACGCTCGGTTTCCGTATACTCTATCGTCCATCATCAGACTATTTTCTGCCACTGCAGTCACGACCTTGCTGATAGCGTCTTAGAGGAACTCGTACTGCGCTTTCTCCGCTCTCTGTCTCTCGTCATGTCCGTAATCGTGCCATGTCCGTGAGGCTGTCGTCGCCGTTGCCTCAGAAGTCGTCAAGCCCCTTGCTTCCTTCTCCAGCTATTATGCCACATGTTGAACCTTCCTCCGCCATGTTTCCTACTCTATTGCCTCCTTTCCTCCGTTGCTGACACCTCCAGACCGAAGGACGCAACAGCGGAGAAAGCCACTTGCTCACCGTCACGTTGTATTGCTGGTCGCCGGGCATGTCGCAGGAACAATTTTGACGAGGAGTAGGGGCCTGGTGTAATGGCACAAGCTACCGGCGCAGCGCTCGTTTGGCACGTGTAGCTGTGGCGTTTGAAGCGGTATGTTAATTGGATCCGATTGATTCGACGCGAGATCGGTTGCTTCTGATTGGGAGCAGATCAGGGTGTTGGGCGCGAGGAACGATGGTTTCGACGGCGGTTGCAGGCTTTTGTCTCGTCTACGAGCTCTTGTACATTGTGGAGCGTTTTCGAAGGGGAGGAAATAGGCTGTTGGAGAGACTGGCCTGCCGATAGAACAATTAGCGATGGCGGAGGGGGAGAGAAAGGAATGGCTGTTGCTCTCATCGAGCTGGCTACGTCGTTTCCATTGATATCGGGTGTTGACGAGGTGCGCTCTGCAGTGTGTGCTAAATTCGTGTCATGAGTCTGCTCGAGGGTAGGCTCGTGTAGTGGTGAACAGGATATCAGGGACTCGAGGTTTGGTTCGAGATCAGCTTCGGGCTCTTTATGCTATCGATGGCGCTTGATCAATTCTCTTGAAACCTAGCATCTACGCTGTCCCTGCAATGTGTCTCTCGATCCAACAGTCAGCTCTGTCTGAGTGCTCTGGCCGATCGAAATCGAACACAGCGTTCAGGCTCACGGGCTTGCTTTTCACATGATTGATTAGGTGACTTGCCCAGCTCTGATCGTTGACTGCTGCCTTGTGAAAGTGACGCGGGAAACGATCATTGGTCACGCAGGGGCTGCTTGTGTGTGCCATGACAAAAAGGGGCCCAGTTTGATCGAAGCTGAAGTTTTCTCCAACACACACTCAACGTCACAACACCATCGTCAGCACACCACGCATCGATTCATCGATCCATCCATCCATCCATCACCGACGACTACATCCACATACAATCAGCACACTAGAGCGTCGCTCATCGCCTCTCACCGCACTCATCTCCCAGGTTCGTTTGCTGACCACGCACCTCAATATTGCCACCAGAAACTGACCACCACTCTAGCCTCAACAGAAACACCTCCACAACAATGGCCGCTCCTCTCCTACCATTCCCATCCATCGCCCCAGTCCCCCCAGTCCCCTACGAATCCGTAGAGTGGACCCTCTCCATCGACAAAAACCTCCTCCTCCTCTGCCTCGACACCGACAACATCCGCCGCCTGAACATCTCCTCCATCGCCAAATCCATGAAAATGGGCTTCAGCAGCAGCATGACCATCCCACGGATCAAAGAACGCTACAACCAACTCTCCGAAGAGCTCGTTTCCCACAACTACCATCTCCAACACTACCCCAACAACCAACGCATCCAGAGTTCCGACGGTCAAGTCAATTGGACGCCTCGCTCGGATCGAGATTTGTTGTTGTTTGCGATGAAAGATCGCACGAATGAGGATATGGGGATTGCGGCTATGGTGATGGGGGATAAGTTCGGGAGGGCGGCGATGAGTGAAGAGCATTTGACGAGGAGGGTGAGGGAGTTGTGGGCGGAGAAGGGGAGGATGGAGGCGGATTATGATGCGGAGCATATGGTGAGGATGAGGGAGGGGAGGTGAGAGGACAGAGAAGATGTGGGCGTGTGGTGCTTTTCGGCCTGTAAAAGGTCAGTTTCTCTGAAAATCCGCGAGTGCATTGAGGCAAGGCGGTTGAAAATGAGAAGCACGTATAGAATTAGTGAGAGACAGAGAACTTGAGTCAAGATGCGTATGCTTCCACCTCTCTGCATCAAACTCCGCCCACCGCTCGACAGATATCGAGCGATCGTGATAGAGCTTGGATCTGGAGAATCGAGCTTGTGGTGTTGATATCTCCTGGTCCGTGTCACCAGCAGTGCCACCACAGTGGCAGATATGGCGAGAGCGGAACCACGACAGCGGACGGAGTTAATGCTTTTGTAGTTATCGATCGTATGTTCTACATACTCTACGATCCTCCATCAAGATAGTACGAAATGGTGTAGTTCAGCCAGGTACATTGCTCCAGCTCCGGGAAACGAATAGACTTCGAAACTACATCCAATGATTTCGCCGGACCCGTCTTATCGCTCACAGCCTCCCATCTCCCACTCTTCTGCACCTGCTCAAGCGCGTCAAAATAACCTCTGACCTTCAAGAAGTTCACATCAGGGTTCGGGTCTCCGGTCTTTGTGAACTGCGCGAAATATCCCGAGATCAACTGTGTAGCCAACAGATCGTTGCGGTCGCGCAGAGGTGACTGGACACCATATGTGAAACCTCCTTCAGATCCATGAAGCCGGAAGTAGGGCTTATTGGGGTTGCCGTAAGGGTAGCCTGGCTCGACAGGGCCGGAGCTCAGCGCGGGACCCAGATTGCTTGGATCGTAGCCTCGCCATGTGCGGTCGAACTCGTAGTAATATGTCGCTGGGAAAGCGCCAGACTGAGCTCCTGCGTATACGGTCGCCTCGTCGATGCAGCGGAATGTGATATCTGTTGCTACGCGTTGGGAGACATTGAAGGCGTCGAGGGAGAGGTTGCCGGTGTTGTAGCGAGGAAACAAGCCGCTGTCGATGATGCGTTGTGCTTGGTTTGTTGCGATGCTGAGGGATGTTGCGATGCCATTGACCAAGCTGGTGACATTGTTCTTGGGGTAGTTGGAGCCAATGGAAGCACCGTCGTCGGCATCGACACCGAAGATGATCGGAACATGAGCCGTGCTGTCGTTTCGTGTGCTGACTATCAGCTGTTCTGTGTTCACGTAGTAGCCGTCTTGGACCACGTAGCGAGCGACACTTGAGAATGCCGATAGCTGTAGGGCAGAATATGCTGTCAAGCACGCAATCTGTTCGTCGATAGAAGTCTGACTGCAGCCCGCTTCTTGAAAGATTTGTTGCCCGGCTCGTTGAGCAGATTCGTCGATCGTCAGATAGCTGCTGTATGTAGTGCCATAGTTTCCGTTGAGTCCAAGAGTCACCCCGCCTCCCAAGTTTGACTGGGCGATACCACCAGCGATCAACTTCTCCTTGATGACAGGAGGAGATCCGAGCAGAGCACGAACGGATCCCGCTCCAGCACTAGCACCAATGATTGTGATCTTCTTTGGGTCACCACCGAAGGCTGCAATGTTCTTCTGGACCCATCTCAACGCAGTGACTTGATCGCCAATGCCGTAATTGCCTGTGATGTTGGTTCCAGGCAGAGCCAAGAACCCGAGAGTGCCCAGTCTATAATTGATCTCAACACTGACAATGTCGTCTCGAGAAGCAAAGTTACCGCCGTCCTGACCATTGGTACCACGACCATTGCCACTAGTGAAGCCACCGCCGTGGATGGAGAAGAGCACTGGTCGGAGCTTAGTCTTCGACCCCTGTTTTGGCAAGTATGGAGTCTGAATGTTCAAGAAGAGACAGTCTTCGTTCCCCGAGCCGCTCTGTGGGCAATTGTTGCCATACTGTGTGGCATCTAGTGTTTGACCAGTAGGAGTGTAGACGGAGAAGTAGGTAAATCGAGGTGGTATATTTGCATACCGAATGCCTTGGAAGCGGAACGATTTCTGGTTGCGGAATCCAGTGTACGTATTCCCTGCTGCAGCGATATTGACCAGCGTATTGGACGAAGCGTTGGCGTCAGGTCCGTTTTGTTGATTACTTTGCGTGCAAAGGGCAGGCAGGTTCTGGCGAGCGTTGTAAGTTGCTGGTGGAAAGCTCACTTTCTTGGCTTTCTGGTCTGCGACCACCACGCCATCTCGTGTCCAATATTGCTGGCCCGCCTTCGCGTATCCTGCAGACTCGACGTAACACAACAGGTAGAAGAAGTCTGAGCTGTAATTCTGCAATGCCTGTCTCGATATCAGGGCTTCGCTGAGGTCGCCACACACTGTCTCGGCTTGTGCTTTGGTTCCAGCATCCAAGAGGATTGCTCCGATGTGATTCTTGTCGTCGGAGGCATTGAGGTTGTTTTGGTAGAGGAATCGAAGCGATGTCGTCTTCAGTATGCTCGTGTCGTTAGTCTGCGTGGGCGCGCATTCGATCAGTCCACCCAAGAGAGTCGTCGCTAGTGCAGCCCGCTTGAGAAAGGACATCTTGGTCGATGGCTTAAGCAAACTTGCCGATTGACGATGAGCTTGACTAGTTCAGCTGAACAGGTACCTACTTATACTTTCCTATTTATCCTAAAAGTGCATACCATTCCAGACTCTTGCGACCGCAACACCAATTGCCGATGTTCAATCAAGGCTTTTGGAAGCATTTTAATGCGAGACGAAAAGGGCAAGTGATCTGCATGTTAGCCGGCGTCTGGTCCACCACTGTTCAGGCTGAAGCAGATGGGGAAGCGGAGTTCGCATATTAATGAGTGTGGAGTAAACTCGGGGTCCGGTCGCTTGGAAGATCATGCTCAAGAGCGTCGCATTCGACCTACGTTGAAGCAGAAGGATCGAATAATAAAGCTGAAGTCCGCCAGAGACGTGAGGATGGCCTTTGTGACGTCTTGGCAGGCACATATGTTCAGCGGATCCTGGATCTTGGGAGACCGTAAGCCAAACTCGCCACTTGGAGCACTTGCGTCGTGGCGAACGCTCTGGATTTTATTTGGACGCGTATGCAATATCGGACAAGCGGATGGGATCTCGTCAGCTCGATGCCCTTCTCTTGACAGTTCTCGTCGTGTAGAGGCTAAATGGAGGTAGGCTATCGGTAGTGCTGCCAAAGTCTTACGCCTCTTAGTGTCTTGATGCCTTTGCTCATTAGACCGTGCCGGTGAAGCGGATTCGGGGTTGCACGTCCAAATTGATCACAGTTGGCAGAGTAATGCATGGCTATGCTACTCAACACAGCTGTTGTCTCCGAAGACCAGAGACGGGCTGCGGATGAGGAGATGCTCGCCTGGCTGGCTGATTCTCAAAAATGGAACTGTACGTCTCCGTGAAGTCGTTCTCTGGCGCGTGATGATGGACGCCACTTTGTCTGTGTATGTGCTTGCGCCTTCTTCTTTGTTTTGAACAAGACCAGCCGTTGCTGCCTCAGGCTGCAGCGTCGATCGGCGACCTCCGCGTGTCAGATTGCTCAAAGATACGCCTGCAGAACGCAGACTTCACCTCTTCGCTCCACTCACTACATCTGCTTTGTAGCCTGTGAACACAACGCACCTCCTCACCCATGTTGCTCAAGCCGCAGAGACTGCAGCGTAAGTCCGGCTGGCTCGACCAAGGCTGAAGACCCCGACCCCTACGCCACCCGGACGCAGGAACTGGCCAAGATTGAGACCCATCCTCGCATAAACCATGGCCGCCGAAACACAGCTGGAAGCGTATGATGCCTATATTGAGGAGATGCGAAAGACCGAGTACCCAATGTTGAAGGACGATGCTCTCTATCTGGATCATGCTGGTACAACGCTGTACAGCAAGACTTATCTTGACCGCTTTCATGCTGATATGCTGGCAAATCTGTACGGCAACCCACATTCGGCATCTCCTGCCAGCCAGAGATCGACTTTAGAGATTGAGAATGTCAGGCACGAGGTTTTGCGGTGGTTCGACGCCGATCCTGACGTTTTCGATTTGGTATTTACTGCGAATACCACAGCTGCTATCAAGCTGGTCGCGGAAGCTTTTCGCGAGTCAGAAGGTGGATTCTCGTATGCGTACCATGTCGATTCTCACACAAGCCTCGTTGGCGTGAGAGAACTTGCGAGCGAGCATCGTTGCTTCATATCGGATGAAGAAGTGGAGGCATGGATCGGCAGGGCCGCGAGTTCTCCTAGCACTCGGTTATTCGCTTATCCTGCGCAATCGAACATGAATGGCCGCAAGCTACCTCGAGATTGGACGCGCGAATGTAGGGATCATCAGATCTACTCCCTCCTTGACGCTGCTGCATGCGCTGCTACATCTCCCCTCAGTTTCGCCGATGCAGAGTATGCAGCAGACTTCACTGCTCTGAGCTTCGCAAAGATGTTTGGATTCCCAGACATGGGAGCGCTGATTGTCAAGAAAGATTGCTCCCATCTGTTCCAACAGCGAAAGTACTTCGGTGGCGGAACTGTCGACATGGTCGTGTGTCTCAAGGAACAGTGGCATGCTTCCAAGAAAGGCACATTACATGAGCAGTTGGAAGATGGGACGCTACCTGTGCACAACATCTTGGCGTTGAAATCGGCTATGCAGACACATCGACAGCTCTATCAATCCCTGGATCGCATTGTCGAACACACTACAGCCTTGTCAAAGTGCCTACACGATGGACTGGTCGCTCTCCGCCACGCAAACGGTCGTGATGTATGCCAAATCTACAAACATACAAGATCGAGATACGGAGACGCGGAAACGCAAGGACCAACCATTGCATTCAACATGAAAGATGGGAGAGGCAATTGGGTGAGCAATACTGAGGTGGAAAAGCTGGCAGCGATCAAGAACATCCACCTTCGAACCGGCGGCTTGTGCAACCCAGGTGGGGTGGCAACAGGGCTCAACTTGGAGCCTTGGGAGATGCACGAGAACTTCTCGGCAGGCTTTCGCTGTGGAAGTGACAACGATGTGATGAATGGCAAGCCTACTGGAATGATTCGCATCAGTCTTGGCGCCATGAGTACCAGAAGAGATGTCGTAAGGTTCCTTGAGTTCGTGGACGAGTTCTTTGTTGATCGAACTCTTCCCGCTGTCTCTCTGCCACCCTCACCAATGCCTCTGAATGGGACGCCAGATTGGCGCTTCTATGTCGAAAGTCTCACAGTATACCCGATCAAATCTTGCAGTGGCTGGCAAGTCTCGCACGACACGTCGTGGGAAGTTCGCCGCGAAGGTCTTGCATGGGACCGAGAGTGGTGCATAGTCAATCAGAGCACTGGTGCTGCTCTCAGTCAAAAGGCCCATCCCGCGATGGCTCTCATTCGGCCGGAGCTCGATCTCAAGAATGGCGTGCTGCGAATCAGACAAGCGAGCACCGCGGAGGCGATCACCGTACCATTGTCAAAAGACCCGAGACCATTCGAGGCCAGTCAGAAAGTTGGCAACGCATCCGTTTGCGGCGACAAAGTCCAAGCACGAGTCTACACTTCAGCTGCCATATCTGACTTCTTCACAAAATGTCTCGGCGTACCTTGCACTCTGGCGCGGTTCCCAGCTGCGACGCTGACTTCGCCTTCCGTCCGGCATAGCAAAGCACATCTGCAAGTCTCTCAGCCCAGTACTCAGCAGCCTCGGCCTATCCTCCTTAGCAACGAATCACCCATTCTGACCACCTCCCGCTCATCCCTCAATCGTCTGAACGAGATAATCAAGGCAAAAGGCGGCAAAGCTGCGCACCCTTCCGTCTTTCGAGCCAACATTGTTCTGGCAGAATCACCTTTACTGCCGCCTGGCCAGGAACAGCCTTATGCTGAAGATTACTGGACGGGTATGAAGGTAGCCCATACAGATTCAAATGTAGAATTCGAGTTCCTTGGTGGTTGTAGAAGATGCCAAATGGTCTGTATCGATCAAACTAGTGGGGAGAAAAACCAGGAGCCGTTTGTCACGTTGGCGAAAACGAGGAGAGTTGATGGGAGAGTGTTGTTTGGTGTGCATACATCATTATTGACGGGTGCGGATGGGGTCGCTGCCGGACAAGCGACGATTCGAGTGGGAGATGCGGTGGCGGCGTGGTGAGATTTCTACTGATGCACTGTAACGAAGAAGACAAATAAGAGCTAGGTCGACGAGCAGAACCACTTGGATAGAATCACTCTCGAACCTCAATGAAACGCAAATTGAAATGAATGGCAAGAGTTTGTAAAATGTATTGTGAAGTAGATTCAATTTTTCCTCAATCAACGACATCTCCTTCAATCAAGAACCCGACAAAAGCTCTAATATACCCGCCTCCCCATAATCGTCATCGCCCTTCCACCTCTGTCCTCATCGCCTTGCCACCAAACCTCAAACCCGCTCTTCTCATACGACCTCACCAGTTTCCTCTCCGTCTCCAGGTAATCCTGATCCGTAGCTCCACTCCCCTTAACCTCCTCCATTGTCGTCCGAAAAGCCGCAGGAGACAAAATCACCGTTCCTCCAGGAAACAAAACACTCGGAGACCTGAGCGTCGTGATCCAGGAAAGAATGTTTTGTAGAACTCCTTGAGCGAGTCCTGTGCCCCGGAAGGGTTGATGGAGGAAGAATTCGGGAATGTAGAGGAGTTGATTGTTGGAGGGGCCAGTGAGGGAGATGCGGGGGAGAAGGTCGTCGACATGGTCGGAGAATTCTGGGCGGACTTCTCCAGCTTTGGTGTAGATGTTTTGGAGGGTAAGCTGGAGTTCGTCGAGGCCTGAGTGGGAGGATTCGGAGGCGGTGTGGTGGTCGAGCGGACGGATGTTTGGACCTGGGAGGAGGAGTTCGGTCTTCCAAGGGGAGGTCTCTGGGGTTATATCGATGACAGTCGCAGTGAGGTAGCCGGATCGTGGCTGTTCGTCGGAATTTGACTTGGTGCGTCGGGATTGAGAGCCGGGATTCTTCTGAGGCGTGATGAATACGTCGATGATGTACTCGACGCAACTTGCGTGCCTCTGGTGAGGAGAAGTTCTGACATTGAGGGTGAGGTCATACGTGTTGGAGGATTTGTCGTAGATAGTGTCCAACTTGGTATGAATTTGAGAAGACCGTGCAGCGGGCAGAGGCTGAGCGGTCTGCAGTGGGGCAGAGCGAGTGTCCAGGAATCTAGCTTTCGTAGGCTGCGGTGCTTTTCTCTTGCGTGTATTGAACACGATTTTGGAACCGGAGCCGCCCGCACCGCTAGTCTTGCTAGTGTCTTTGTTCTGGTCAAGATCCATCGCGTCTTTCTCACTACGGCTGTCCTCAGTCATATCCATGCCGGAGCTCGAGATTCGCTTGCGCTTGACAACAACAATCGTGCCGTCGTCATAATTCTCATCCTTTCCGTCTTTGTCCGCAGGGCTGTATCGTCTGCGCTGTCTCTTACGCGGAGGAATGACAATGTCGGAAGAATCCGACTCGCTATCATGGTTAGCCTCCTCGTTGAAAGCTGCATCGACCATCGTCCTGCCGTCGGTCTCATCATCGTGATCATTGCCTCCAGCATCGACCTCCATTGCTTCGCCGGCCCCTTCATGTTGATCGACAGCTAGTGCAGAGGCCAAAGATGGTGCAGCTCCGTCATCCCTTCGACCGTTGGACGCCCGAGTGCTTCTTCTCCTCCCGGAAACCGCACTCTCTTCCGCGGCTCGATCCCTCTCGCGCCTTTCCCTCCAGGCCGCCTCGGCGTCTGTTTCGTACCGGAAGTTTCTCCACATCTTGCGGTGTCTCTCGTAGATAGTCGCCGACCTGCAGCTTTTTGATATTTCTCCGAGATTGATAGAGGGGGCTTGCTTTTGAATCCTCGATACCAGTCGAGGTTGATTGCTTTCCCAAGAGCTGTTGCTTGTCGAAGCAGGAGATTTCCGAAGAAAGGAGAAGAGTTCTTCATGCATCGAGCGGCAGAGTTTTGATCTTGCACGAAAGAGTAGAGCATTGTGAATGGTGACAAAGAGGTTATGCCGAGTCGCGAGTGACTATGCTGAAGATGAATGGCATTGTGAATGTCCTCCACGTTTCTTTGTCTCAATAGAAGCAATGCCATCTTGTCGTGGGTGCTAGACGTCCGATAACACGCCGCTGCATGAAACTAGCGAAAGATTGGGCCTCTGAACTGGACACAGAATCTCCATTGCTGATATCCGTATCGCTCTCTGGGCCGCCACGATTCCGCTGCGATGTTCTGAGCCTTCTTCGGGCCTTCTTCCTCGTCGTTGGAGTCACTTGATGCAGATGGACTGTCAATGCCAAGAATCTCTCCGTCGTTGGAGAAGAGTGGCTTGTCAGACGAGCCGTCTGAGCTTAGATGGTTCGTACCGCGGCAGAGTGAAGTATAGTGCTGTGATCAATTGTGTATAATGGCATCGTATCGTGTGTATAGAAAAGCATCTTACAAAGACCCGTGAAAATGAGGGACCCTGGGTTTCGAAAAGCAAGGGAGAGAAAAGAGTAGTGGGAGTGAGCAGACTGGGCTGAAGAAACGGACATGCAATTAGTGACCATCAATGTCAGGGCAACTGAGACAGGAGTAAAGACAATGCCGCCTCCCTTGACTTAGCCTCTCCGATGCAGTTGGGGAAAGCAATCCAGTCGCCGGCTGGTGCTTCGTGATCTGATGGGCTTGAAATCCAAAAGGAAGCTGTGCGTCGACTTGCACGTTCGATGACAATATTTTGTCCAAAGAGATCGTTCACTACTCGCCTCGAGCAGTATTTTGATAGTTGTTGACAGCCGGGAGTCTGTTTCAATGGTCATATCTGAAGTCATTGCCTACGAGAATTGTCTCAACATGGGCAATATCGAAGTGTTCCTGAGAAGATGCGGCATTGCACGGACTATGATTGCACGGTTCGAGACGCGCTGAATCTGTCTTGCGCTGTATTCGGGCTCGAAATCAAGCCAATAGCCCCCCCTTGATGCGATGCTTGATCGCTCATTCATTGCTCGCGAGCCTGTTTGTGGGCGAGCAGTGCTGCAGCCTAGCCAACTCCGCATTGCGGAGTTGTTAGCCGAGATGAGGACGCCTTGCAAGGCTCGTGGCACAAACGCGGACGCGTAGGCTGTGCGACAATGGGCTGCCCAAAGTAGGCGAGGCTCCGGCTCGGCGAAGGAGGAATGATGCGACTTCTATGCCACGCGAGCATCATGGGCATCGTGCTGACATATCGCGACGGAAGATGCAAGCATAAACTGATGCTGGGTAGTAGAAGTGGCTTATCGCGAGATGTGAAAGCGCAGCATAAGGCCATGCACGTCGACGGTAGTCCATCCATGTCCAGGCCATGCTTCGGGGCAGTCTCCGCCGAGGACAAACAAGACGCGTTCTACATTGCTGACCCGGTGACGCACTTTTGATTGTGCAGGACCAGTGGTGCCCGATGGAGCTCCTATGCGAGACGTAAGCTTCCACCGCAAGGAGCAGCGTGCGTTCAACGGTCTCGCGAGTGTTCCTGTTTCGAGCGCGTGGGCGATGACGTTCGTCAAAGAAGATCAGTCGCGCAATCTGCAACCCGACGAGCGAAGGAGCACAGTCGAGTGGCACATCGAGGCACATCGGGCTGCGTCGGAGCTGAGGTATGCGGACTGCTTATCGCCATGAGTTCGTGTCGTGCATGTGCTGCGAACATCCAAGTTGTAGACGCGGGAGCGCATATGTCATATGCAGAGTATATCTGTGTTGCACAAGTTGCAGGTGGCTGTGGTGGCGGTGACGCGTGGAGAGGGTCAATTGCATAATGTTGGTGAGACTCGCCTCACGCGTGGCTGGACGTTGGCCTTGATTCAGGACGAAGCTGAGTTGTTGGTGATTGCGAGGCATCTGGAACAGCGCAAATGTTTGGACACGCCGTTTGCGAACGATGTCATTGCCGTTGACGTGAACCAGGATGGCCAGTCGAGGGCATCGGGATGTCGGTATGTGTTGGACATGCCGCGAAGCTTCTTTCTCACCTGCGCGCTGAGTCGCTGCCGCGACACGAACCCACCAGGCACCAAACTAGGATGGATGGTGCACGTCTTCACTCTATCGCATCGCGGTGAGAAGGAGCAGCTGACGCGACACGTGTTGCTTGATGGGCGTATCGGGACACGGCGTGCCCGTCAGGAGACTCTCAGCTTGTTCCGGGCCGGGCGAGGGACGACATCGCGATCCCGTCGCTGCGAGTGGCCTCAACGGGACGCTGAAGAGCTCCCTCCGCGGGTGGAGATGTGAGTGGAGCAGCGTCTGGGCCCCATGTGTTTGGTCACGATTGCATGAAGGTGATGTGTGAAGCAGAGCAGCGTGCTGTGCAGAAGATTCCAGTCGGTGTTGTCGGCACTTTGTTCGTCAGAGTTTGGCGCTGGCGGAGGGCTTGGCATGGACTGGGATTGTCGTTGCTGTTTGGGACGAACCTGAAAAAAGTGGCCGTTGCGTCAGAACACGGTAACACGCAGTTGAGAGTCGCGCAGGAATGGCCAGCGGCCCTATCGCAAGCGCACCAGCTCCACGTTGTTGGCAAGTATCGACTACTTCTTCAAGTCCAGACACATCTCTCCATCCGCTGCACCTCTTCTTCACTTCACTTGACCCTTCTGTCAGCTGCAGCTAGATCACTAACCGCGTCCCGTCACATCACCTGCTGTCTCGAAGTTTCCGATCACTTCAAAGGCAATCACGAGCGACTGGCACCACCTCCTGCCCATGAACTTGCGACACCAGACTTCCACACCACCTCCAAACACTTTCCACCTCCACCACCTGCTATACGACCGACGGTAGCTTCACCGCCGCCAACTCGCCCGCAATGGCGACCAATTTGACTGTCTCGCTGTAAGTGCCGGACTCAATCCTCCTCCAAGAACCACGTGCTCACGTCTTGCCAGCTTCTTGCCCAACACTATCTCCTTCAACGAACTGCCCGCCAAAGAGCGCCGCCGAAGTCCGCCATTCAAGTTGAGTCAGCGCATCAGCTCCACCAATGACCTCTCCAACTCGACGACGAGCCTCCTCAATGGCCAAACAGCGCCCATGACGCCCACCCTCGAAAAGGCAATCGCCAACGAGCAATTTTTCACACCCGGCTCCATCGATGCCGCCAAGCGACTGTTTGCCAGACCAGGCGACCCACGCTCCCTCCTCCGCAATGATGTACATGCCGAGTGGGGTTCACAAGCCATATTTAACCAGCCGCGATCTCGTGCTGGTCCTCTGCCTTCAGCTTCCATACAGGACTTTGCCTCTGCATATGACAGGTACCGTGAAGAGGAGGACCGGAACAAGAGAACAGCAGCAAAGAAAGTCACGAGAGGTTCACCTTCCCAACTCCAGGCCAGTCGCTCGGGCAGCTCAGAAAGAGGTTTTGAGGGCAGACCATTCACTGTGCAGCCGGCCGTCCATGGCAACGGCGGTCTGGTGAACGCAGTTCGAGAGGTGTCCGACATCGATCCTGCCAACGATCAGCCAGTCGATACCACGTGGATTGGCACCCTCGGTATGCCCACTGACGCTCTGCCGGAGAGCACCAAGGAAGAGATTCATGACCGACTGATCAACGACTATCATTCCGTGGTCGTTTACTGCAGTGACAAGGACATCGACGGTCACTATGCTCACTACTGCAAGACCATCCTGTGGCCCATCTTCCACTACCAGGTCCCAGATCATCCCAAGAGCAAGGCCTATGCCGATCACAGCTGGGAGTTCTACCGAAATGTGAACAGGGCTTTCGCCGATCAGGTGATAGCCAGCTACAAGCGCGGCGATACGATCTGGGTGCACGACTACCACCTGCTTTTGGTCCCTGGCATGGTGAGGGAGAAGCTGCCTGATGCTAAGATTGGTTTCTTCCTCCACACCGCATTCCCGTCCTCCGAAGTCTTCCGATGCCTGTCGACGAGAAAAGAGCTGCTCAACGGTATGCTTGGCGCCAATCTCATCGGTTTCCAGACCGAAGAATATGCCTCCCACTTCCTTCAGACATGCAGCCGGTTGTTGGCTGTTGAGACCACTGCCGAGGGTGTACAAATTGACGAACACTTTGTCAATGTGACGTGCGTCCCCGTCGGCATCAACCCACCACTCTTCGAAGAGACTCTCGCCAATGACGAGGTTCAAGAGTGGGTGGCAACCATCAAGAAGAAGTACGAGGGCAAGAAGCTCATTGTTGCACGGGACCGCCTCGACCACGTGCACGGAGTCCGTCAGAAACTGCTGGCGTACGAGCTGTTCCTCAACAGATATCCAGAATGGCGCGAGGATGTTGTCATGGTACAGGTGGCAACATCGACCAGTGAGCAATCGGAACTGTTAGCTACAGTCTCTGATATCCACACCCGCATCGACTCCGTGCACAGCACTCTGGCGCATCAGCCGCTGGTGTTCCTCAAGCAAGACATTGCATTTGCCCAGTACATTGCTCTGCTGACAGTGGCTGACGGACTAATGGTATCCGCTCTTCGAGACGGCATGAACTTGACCCCGCACGAGTTCATCTACTGCCAGGATGGTCGAGGAGGCGAGAAGAAATATGGACCACTCATTCTGAGCGAGTTCACCGGCAGTGCAGCAGCTCTTGGGAAAGAATTCATCTCCATCAATCCTTGGGACTTCTCGGGCATGGCCGATGCGATCAAGCAAGGTCTGGAGATGAGTGACGAAGAGAAGAAGCGTCGATGGGAGGTTTTGCACGACATTGTCCTCAAGAAGACTGGTGCCAACTGGATGCGGGAATTATCGAGACAGCTCGACACCGTGTACGAGGAGCATCACCAGCGAGCTTCTGCATCAGTGCCACGTCTCAACGTCTCTGCTCTGGCCGACAAATACAAGGACTCAGAGCACCGCCTCTTCATTATCGACTACGAAGGCACCCTTGCCCCGCATCGCACGACCTCTGGGGTTCCATTAGGCTCTCCACAGCGCGTCCTTGACACTTTGAACGATGTCATGACCGACCCCAAGAACGTAGTGTACGTCATGTCTGGTCGCAAGCCAGACGAGCTGGAGAATCACTTCCGCACACTTCCCAAGGTCGGACTGATTGCCGAGAATGGTTGCTTCGTTCGAGAGTTCGGAGTTGAAAACAATGAATGGACTTCGTTCGTCGACCTTAAGGAAGTCGCAACGTGGAAGTCTCAGGTCCGAGGCATCCTCGGCTACTACTCGGATCGCCTCGAAGATAGCTACATCGAAGAGCGACATTGCAGCATGCTGTTCCGATACGAGAAGTCTGGCGACCAGGAAGCTGCGGTACGCTTTGCTGGTGAATGCGCAGACCAGATCAACGGCGCTTGCAAGAGTATGCGTATTCGCGCCGTGCCCATCAAAGGTGCCGTTCTTATCGAGCAGGAAGACTTCAGCAAAGGCACTGCTGCGACCCACATCTTTGACGCGCTTTGCAAGGATAGCAAAGGCTTGTCGGCGCCTGACTTCATGGTCATCGCTGGAGACGATCGTGAAGACGAGATTATTTTCAAATGGGCAAATGAGCTCGGAAAGGATGGCAAGGTCAAGGATGTGTTCACCGTCACCGTCGGCAAGCGCAATACTGTGGCGCAGGCGACTCTTACTCAAGGCTCGACGGGTCTTCTCACCGTCCTGCAGCGTCTCGCTCAGATCTCAATTGACTCGCTGCCTCCGGACTACTTCGCCATACCGAGACACAAGACGTTTCCTTCATGAGCGCAGTCCGCCTCATGGACGAATCGATCGTCGCTCCGAGGGTGCTACTGGCTGGCCGCGTCGCCCTTCTTCAGAGAGATGTCTCGAGCACGTGATCTGCTTGATTGCCCTTTTCCACACACAGAAATGCGAGATGATAGCGAAGATACCCCAGAAATTCACTTTGAGCAGGTTTGATGATATTTGACCTTTTCTCCAGTCGTTGCACTTGCACCATAGACGGATTGATCAGTACGCACGGGAGTAGAAAGCGGAATTATGTAGAAGTACGCAGCAATGCATGAATGCCATGACATGCTACAGAGTCCTCAGTGCGAGTGAATGTTTAACATTACGTCTGCTTGAATCCGCCTTCCCTGTCTTGCCTCCTGCGAATGCTTCCTCTAGTAAGGAATACCGTTCGTCAACAACTGGAAATAATCATACACAGCCGTCGAATTACTCCTCTCACTCCAATGCACCAATTTCCTCACAAACTCTGCCGCCTCCCTCTCACTCTTCTCCAACACAAATCTCTCTTTGAAATGCTGCAGCGTCTGGGGCTTGAAGCACGGCAATCCCGAATCCAGCATGGTCAGAACGATATGACTCAGTTGTTCCACATACTGTCGTGCAGCGAGGAAAACTTTGACGCAAAGTTCCTCGAAGTGCTTATAAGATTGCGAATGCAATCCACCCATAACAGCAACCATTTCAGGCGTAAGTTTGAATGGAGCACGTTCGAATTTCACGCCTCCGGGTGCGATATCGAAGCAGAAGCCAAAATCGATGTGTAAAATGTGTCCAGCGTCATCGACCATGATGTTTCCGTTATGGCGATCTTTGAATTGGAGGAGGTAGGATATGATACTGTAAGCAGCCATGGATTTGATGAAGTTCGAACGCGCGACTTGAAATTTGATGCTGTCTTCGCTGCCGTATTTGGAGACGAAGTATTCGTACAAGCCGTTGACGGCTTCGCGGCCCAGCATGTCGCGGGAAATACTGTTGGGGAGGACATCAATGACGCCGCAGCCTGGAGCGGTGGCTGTAACGCGGTAGGGGAAGACGTAGACATCCAGGCCCACGGAGTTAAAGATTCCGCGGAAGGCGGCGATGAGTTGGAGGGCGAGGACGTCTTGGCGGCAGTCGTCGCCGACTTTGAAGATGGCGGATTGCCAGACTTCGTACGTGCGTTTTTTGGCGACTTCTTGGGAGGATGCGGAGTTCTCGGGCTCGGCTTCTTCCTTGCGGATGCGAAACGTGGCCATGAAGGGCGCTTTGGCGTGAGATTGAAGAGGTTTGCCCGATTTGCGGTCGATACCAATCACCACACCATCAGGATTGGATGGAAGGTAGACACCTACGTCGACATCGATCTTGCGCAGTTCTTCCTCAATCTTGGCCTTCTTTTCTGGCTTCGGACGCTTGATGAGCGGCTTCAGCGTGCCGGAGATGCCAGTGACCTTGGCAAAGAAGTCGAACTCGCGTTCATAAAAGTCCTTGTCTTCGGGAATGAAGCTGGCAATTAACGAGTCCATGACACGATCGAAGACGGGCTTCGCTGGATCAGGGACCTCGGAGTCTTCATCTTTGTAGGCATTCGCTTTCAAGTTCCAGATGATCTGATGGGCGAACAGTCCAGAGAAGACTCCTGTTTCAACGATGTACCTCTCGACATAGCCGAGAGCATCGTATCGAAGTGTTTGCACAATTTGCGGCACGTAGAAGAAGGTCACATCGACAGAGTGGCTTTCCAACGCACGCACAGCATATTGTACAACCAAAGGATGGTTCTTGTACGCCGGCATGAAGTATGTGACAGCAGCCATCGGGTTGATAGATGCCCAGTACAGCAGATACTTGAGCTGAGTCTTAACGTCTGCTGGCAACTCCGATCCCAACAAGATGTACAGGGCATCTGGCTCATTAATTGCCTTCTCAGGTTGACGAAGTAAATACTGTCGGATGTTGGTCTTCAAAGCCGCAGAGTGTGGAAAGCGAGCGGCGAGTTGAACAGCAATACGTGGGTCTTCCCGCCAAGCTGTGTCGAGCAATCCAGATAGGGCGCTCTCCTGCGTTTGCAACTCCGAATGTGAAGGCGCGGCTGTGCCTGCAGTATCCTGACCCAGCGGACCGATCCACACTGTCAATCTGCCAACTTCATGCTTGATGAGCTGTAGCAGAAGAGCCTCTTTTTGCTGCAAGGTCGGCAAGGCTTTCGTCGTTTTGGCGCCAATTCCGCTGAGACTGGCGAGTCTGCTGGAGACATCGCCGAGCAGCTTCCGCTCTGCTTTCAGCTGCAGCCTGTTGCTGCCAAACGACCATCGTGGTGGGACGGCGAACCAGGCCAGACCTGCCGAGACCACGGCGTCTTTCAACCTCCATTGAGTGGTCGTGCTAAGATTCGTGCAGTACTCCAAAACATTCAAGCCGAGTAGGATGATGTGGAAATGCACTTCTCGCGCAAGGGGCTGCGTCAGACTCTTTTTTATCTGGAACAAGGTACTGCGCATCAGACGAGAATACACTCGCTCGGTTGGGGCAGACGTCAATCTGGAGGCACTGAAATGGCTTGAAAGGAAGTGGGTGAGAGCCAAGTGAGGTGCGACCAGCTCTTGTGTTATCTTCTCGCGCCTCTTTGTCTGCTCCCAGCTTGATGGAGCGAACTCTTCTTTCAGGTAAAAAGGATCCAAGTGATGCAGAGACGTCGAGAAGAAGCCTTTGCCGAGGCGGATTGAGGTCTCCCAGCCTGCGGCAACCTCGACCAGGACTCTCGACTCCAAGCTTGGGTTCTCTTTGATTACACCGAGCCACAGAGAAATGCCCAATCTGATGGACTGCTTGGTGAAGATTGCGAACGGGATAGCCACAAAGTCTTGAATAAGTGCAACGCGGTCTGATGCGCTTCTGCTGATGACACCAGCTGCATTGCGCAATGTTGTGCCCACTTCTTCGAACCGAACATGTTCGTTTCGGCGCAGGCGCAACGACAGGTTTCGTAGTTCTTGTGCTTCGTCCTTTTCAGCACTATTCACATCAAGCAGAGTTGGCCTTGCTTGGCCCTGGTAATCAACAAGTGCCCATTCGTTGTCGAAGTCAAGTTTGTTGTCGATCTGGCGATACTGCTGACGTGTCGTGTATTGAGCAATGAAGTCGGAAGCGGTATTAATTCCCACAGTCCTTTGGCTATCCAGACTCGTCAAGCGCTGATCACTCGCGGGAATGAGCTCGCCCATTTCGACAGCAAATGATCGGCCAAGTGCGATATGACCGTACGCACCGTCGTCCTCGTAGTCTTCGAGATACGCTTGGAGAATGCCTTTAACATCGAGAGGCGCGACACGAATGGCACGTGTGACCCATGCCTTGCATTTCTGGTAGAACGATGAGAGTGTCGTTTGACGGAACTGAGCATCATCGGAGAGCTGGATAGAGACATTGGTCTTGTCCGAGGTGTACCGGGTTTTGAACGAATACTCATCTGTCTCTGTGTCGAGACATGCTTTCCACATTAGTGTGAGTATCTCCAGCAAGGCAAATAATGAGGACTTCTGGCATAGTGCAGAAGGAATTTGGTTGATAATTCGGTCACAAGCGGCAACAGCAGCCACTTGCACCTTGGCAATGCGGTGGCAGCAGCCTTCGAAGAAAGCGGCGAGCTGAACTGCCACTTGAGGTGCTGCAAAGTCTTGACGCTTGCCACGCAGAGCTTCTTGCAGATAGGTCTCAACGTTGCTGCTGGACACGGCGAGCATGCAATTATTGAGGGGCCCAGTCTTGACGCGACTCTCGAGAAAGTATGGCAGCGCGGCAGTGCAGTCTCCTCCACGGGCACGAAGGGTGGAAACCAGCAGGGCCGCGTTAAGGAAAACGCACTCTTGGTAATTCAGGTTTCGGAGGTCAGTCTCGCATTGCGGCAAGGCAGTCTTCAAAGCATGTCGCTGCGCATCGAGCGCTCCATCGCTCTTTCCTCTTCGCAGGACTGGGTCGAGGTCGATTCCGCTGTCGGGCATGTCCACTCTGGCCTCATCTACCAACGGCAAGCTATAAAGAGCGATCGTTCGTAAATCATTTACGTGATCCTTGACGTGTTGCGAGTTGAGGGTGTAGCCGTGTACGACAACGTTGAACCACGCGTCTCGGCCCAACGCACGCACTTCATCCTCTTCTTCGAAGACAGGTGTCGTCTGCGTGTCGTGCGATACAAGCAATGCGAGTGGATGGAGCAAAGAAGCGATGACCTTTTGGACAGAGGAGGTGTCGACGCTCTTGCCCCCTGAAGACTCGCCAGTGCTAACGAATTGTGCTAGTAGGTGGCGAACATAGACTTCGAAAAATGGCGTATCCCTCTTGACGTGTGTTGAAATGCGACTGCGTGCTTCGAGTACGGCGGAGCTGAGAAGCGCATTGTTTTGGGCAAGAGCTTCGATGTTCACTTTGGAGTAGAAGCGCAATAGACCTTTCAATTCTGTAACACCGCCAGACAGACCAAGCGCTGCGGTCTCGATGATAATGCGGGCGTCGACGACCGCGCTGATCTTGTTGATCTTTTGCAGTAGCATTGAAGAGACCAGAGCGGTGAGCTGTGCCTCGCTGCGAGCCACCGCAATTGCAACCACTGCTTGGACAACCGTGCCATACGCTGTTGTGGTGTCATCTTCGTCACTAAGCACGAGGGAAATCGAGCTCCCCGCGCCGGGATGTGATGTAAACCCGTTCTGGTGTACACTGAAGCTGCTGTCGAAAATGGTAGACTTGTTGTTCGTCTGTCCATCTGCATCTACACTGAGGACATTGCCCAGGCTGTACAGGGTACTGATGACGATGTCCTGTGAGAGTGGCTTCAAGACACGTGCGAGACACTCACAAGCAACGGCCGAAGTCGTCGGGGTCATCCTTCCATTGACAATCAGTCGGGGTAGGGATCGTGTCAATGTCGTTGCCACGGTTTCAGAAAGAGTGGCAAGTACCGCCATCGACTTGAGTACTGTCTTCGCCAGGTCTTCGTCCATCATCTGATCTGGATCGGCAGTGATTGCATTAAGCCAATCGAGAAGGACATCGTCGTTTGGCGTATTTCCATTCAGTATGCAGCAGCAGAGGAAACTGCGCAAGGCGCTCGCTTTGACTTCACGTGCTTGCTTCTGCTGCCAAATGGAGCCAAGTTTGAGGTAGTCCGCCTCGTCGTCCAAAGATCTAATCTCGCTCGTGACGAGGTCCGTGAGACTGCTTACAAGTCCACTCGCTGAATGCATCTGACTTTGGTACCAGCGTGGGCCCTGACGCAGGAGAGTGTCCAGTAGCTCGGTCGAGGTGAGCGGCTCGATGACTGGTAGCAGTTCCAGTGTGCTTTCCTCAACAACGCGCATGAAGGCTTGTTGAACCAGCATTGCACCGAGAGGTCGGCCTTGCGTCGCATACTGATTGTCCCAGCGCTTCCATTGAAGTGCGGCTCGGTTCTTCGTCGATGCATTCCGGATCGCTGAGAGAGCGCCTTCCAAAGAGACCATGAATTTCTCAGACAGAACCTTTCTCAGTTGAGGGAGCAGATTGATTCGCTGCTCTGGAGACCATACTTTCACGTAGTCTGCGATACCATTGAAGAATCCAAGCAATGCCACGCTGATCCTCACCACCCGAAGAGTGTCATCGGTGATTTCGTACTCGGTCTCTCCTTCTGGCAGCGGCTTGAGCCAGGCAGTGTCCTCGGCAGCTTTTGTTACCTCTTCGATCGCACCTTCAACGATACTCCAGGTCTCGGTACGCAGTGAAGGATGATTGAGCCCCAGCGCCAGTACAGCCGTGGTCAAGTCGTAGGACAGTGTCTCCCAGGGGGGCAGGCGCTGGTGTAGAGAGGTCGGACCAAAAGCCTGTCGATGCGCTTCTGCCACGTACGGGGACAGTTGACGCAGCAGAGCCTCCGCATCCTTTGTTGTCTGAACCAGCGGCGCTGCCTTGCACAGTGCTACTAACACCTCCAACTCCTTTACCCGAATGGGAATTGAGGAGACTTGATGTGCTTTGCCAGCGGTGCTCCCCCCGTTCTGATATCCCTCGTTGCCTGCGTTGCTCAGTGCGCACAGCCGTTGCAAGTCTTGCCCGTCATCTTGTGTCCCGGCGGCCTCGGCGGAGAGCTTCGCGAGTCGTTCGAGCGCATCGCGGCGGAAGTTCCTGGATGTGCTGTGTGCCTCCTTTAGCATGGACCTTCGCGTGGATGCTCAGAGCAAGACCTACACCTTCATAGTCACAACCTGTTGTCGCTGACGACTGCAGCAGCTCGAGTGCGCCAGGAAGCAGGCTGCTGCTGCATTCGTGGTCGAGCTCGAAACACGAGAACGTGTCGCTGATGCACGTTGACGTCGGGAGCTAAGACGCCACAGTGGCTGATGGCACTGCCACAAAGCACGACTCAGGCACAGGTTGCTTCCTCAACCTTATCTCGATGACCAGCCGCTTCTTGCCTCCGACATGCCGACCACGCTATACCCAAGTGGGCCTGTGGGGCCAACTATGACAGCTTTGACAGTCTTTGGACCAATCACAACCCCTACCTCAAAATGTCTCTGGCGAAGCGAGAATGGCCTTCCTCGGATTTTGATTGGTCTAAACATCACACAGTCTCCACAGTTGCAGGGGATGAGGCCCACTTTGCCGTTTACGGCAAAGCTTCCGCGTAAGCGGAAGCTAAAGTGCCATTCTCGCGGTACAGAGAGTCTGAGAGCTGAGATAACCTCAACCTTCACCTTCACCTTCACGCGTTCGCGTTCGCACAAAACTTGTCACCAACTAACGCTACAGACCGCCCTATCCTACGCGACGTTTGGTCAGTTCTGAACGGTCGTTGCTCCACGGACATCGAGGCCCGGAAAGTGCACTGCCGCGAGTATTCTGAGGCCCCTCATGGTTGCCTGTTGGTTCAGCGGAGCAGTCACACCGGAGCACCACCCGCGTCGACCTGGAGTTCAGTATACATGGTCTGATCGAGCGTCAAGATATGGCGCGCCTGAAACGCCTGAAGCGCGCTGCTGGTCTGCGACGAGGCACATTGCTAATGTTACCCTTACGGACTGAGCAGCATATCTACAAAAGCCTCCGTCTAAGGGGTGAAATGTTCCGCCACGCTGCTCTTCGTCGCCCATGTTCCTCCTACTCGGCGAAGTGCCACCTCCGCTAGGACCTGCCTCGTGGCGTGCTGATGCAGAGACGGTCATGCGCATTGGCCTGTTTACCTGCCTGCTGGTCACTATTCACCGATCGTTCTGACAACACCTCGGCGGTACTGTCATCAGGTCCCGCAATGACTTTGCGTGGCAAGACCTAGTCGAACGGGCTCATTCTGTTATACATTTGCCGGAGCCTTCACCGATGTGCCCGTTTCTTGGTCAGGCTTCCTTTCACAAAAGCGGCGTTGCACCCAGGGTGCTATTTCGAACGCTGTCCTGCTTGTCACAGCACCTCACGTGCAATGGCTCAGATGCATTCTAGCTGCCATTGTGTGCAGACTTGGTGACTCAGTGCCTTCATCTTCGCGTTGGTGGCCACTGGTAACTTTTGCAGAGCGTTCGCTGCTTCACCATGCGTGCACGCGTTGTACTGATCTCATGCAGTCATACCCATACGAATCGTGACATGTAGTCGTCATGCGCCCTCTCTTTACACGCCCTCTGGCTCTGCAAGAGATGGCTAGAGCGCTTCCACTTCTGGACTGAGTGTGCGATGTCCATCATCCTGTGGCCCGTTCAGTGACTTGAACTATCGATATTCCCTGCTTTTTCCAGTTCTTGTGAGCCATCGTAGGTGCTGCTTTCGAAGAACGGATCTATATATATGTCGTTGGCGTGTCTCTGAGTCACGGAACGTTTCAAAGCCAGCAGAGGTGGATATGGCCGCTTCTCGAGCGAGCAAGAAGCATCAAAGGATCACCTGTTCGTCTTCCGCCTCCTCCCCATCACCGTCTGCATCGATACAAAACACGACGAAAAGCAAAAGAGACAGACAAGTGGGACGCGACGGGTTCAAGACCAATCTGCATCTTCTTATTCCCACCACAACCCCCAAACTCTTCACAACCCCCAAGGTTTGGCCTTGCTCCCCCACTCACTCGTGTGACCTACACGTCCGCAGCGCAACCCACGAGTTCCGCCCGTCAACTTACCGATGTATGTGACGCGGAAGGACAAGAGCGACTGCTTGATAACATCGTACGTACCTATGACTTCTCAACAGTAGCCGAAGAGGCCGATGACCACAGAGTCGCCACTCGCCTCCTCGCAGATTTCAGGTTGACAAAACACTTCGTGTGTGACGATGCTCTGATGCAGGCGGCGAAGGCATTGCGCAGCTGTGTACTCGGCTAATAGAAGGGGCTTCTAGGATTTCCAGTCGATAGACGCCTATGCCTACGGTATAAGGGTACCTGCTCTCTGCAATCTTTATAAAAGACTATTTTAGCAATAAGGTGGATTACTCCGGCGATTGTAGCGCCTTTAAGTAAACAGTTAGCAAGCTCGTCGACAAAGCTCGGCTAAGAATATAGTCGGAGGGTTTATTATATAGGAACGAGCGCGCGATAATTAGGCTATTACGCGTTCCCTAATTCCGTTACTTAATTATAGCTACGCTGCAATACTATAATTTATAGGCTGCTAATCCTAAGCTAGTACGTATAAGGTATATACTTATAGGACGTCTTACTAAAGTATCCTTAAATAGGTAACCTTTTAGGTCTATATTCCTTATTATTACAAATACTACTAATAGCCTACTAGTGCCGAATCTCGAGAGCATTCGAGCTCGTCTTTCGTATTATAATAGTAACGAATTAGGAATATTATTATCTCTAGCTCGTCTATAGAGAGCTTTTTTTTTCTCGGAGAGTAGGTATACTATATACGATTAACGATAATAAAAAAGACTATTACTACTACTATTATAGCGAGGAGATAGTAACTATAGCTACCTCTAAATATAACTACCTTTAAGTATAACTATAGGTCGCTAAGCTAATTAGGAATACCTTTTAGGAATCGAGAGCGAATCTAGTTAGGTACTTATACTTAGAGATCCTTATATCTAGAGGTATCTATAGTTAGTATTTAGTATAGTACTAAGTAAGAGAATTATAGCCGAGCTAGCTTATATTATAATAGCAAAATCCTAGAGCTTTATTTCGTTATCTCTCGGCTAAAAGGTATAATATCCGAGCTTAGTAAGTACAGATAGCTCTAGGTTATAAATCTTTAGCATATCACCACGTGACCTAGGCATCACGTGACCACCCACGTGACCCCGCTCTTAT